ATATGGAATGCTGTGAGGAAATTGGAGGGTATACATATATGGATTGGTGCGAGGAAATTTCGGGGGTCTACATATATGGAATGCTGGAAAGCAATGTTTTCAAACCCGTTTTGAACTCCGGTTTCCGGTTTGAACGGTTCAACCGGTTCAACCGGTTTAACCGGTTAATAAAATACTATAAATATATGATTTTGCAAAAGATATCACATGGTGTTGGTGGGTTGCACTGGTAGATGGCTGATCTTCTATAAGAGAGATTCAGAGTTCAAGTCCTCCTGATAACATTTTAATATAATTGTGCTTTGAAAGTAGAATAAGTATATTGTAAAGCATTAAAATGACAAAAGAACATTGTGTACAAGTGGAAAAATCGTTGAATCGTTGTTCTACACCATGGAGATTAAGTGTTCGAATCTCAAGCTTGTAATCAGTAATATGGTTAAAATTTTTGGGATTTATATGGGTTAAATAAAAGTCCAAACACCAAGCACCCATTGACCAAAAGATTGCATTGCCCTGATGGCAAATGATCAACCTAATACTTGCCTTTAACCTAAAAAAAAAACATGAAACAAACCCTTCCCCTATAGAGAGAGAACTTATGACGAGATTTTTTTTTTTACAATTTTTTGTTTGACTGACCCCTTTTCTCTCCCTTCTCTCTTGTTTCTGCCTCCCTTCTTCGACGTAGCATTTGTTTTGATCGGAAGCCTTTGAGCTTTCAAGGTTTTGATACTTGAGTCGTTGGGCACCCCAGCCGCTCAAGAATGCTGGAGCCGGCCTGTGCTTCCTCCTTCGATGACCCTTCAGGGTTTGTCAATTTCTGGGTCCCTTTCCGGTGACCCCTTTTGGTTTTTTTTTTTTGGTTGTTTTGTTTTGTTTTTTGTTCTTGTACAATTTGTTTTTTTCAGTTCCGACGACCCTCGGCTCTTTCCTGTTGATCTTGGTAGGGGCTCGTTGGTTTTTTCTGTTTCTTGTTCTGTTAGGTTCAGATCCGACAGCCTTCTTTCTCCTCCGATGAATCTGAGGCAACGCGCGCGAGGGTTGCCAGATCTAATGCCCACCGCGGTTCTCTTGCTGGTTCCAAGGGACACTACTGCCACCTAATCGGGTTACCGCCCCGGCATCCTGGAGCCTGATGCTATTTCTTCAAGGGTAGATAGAAGGGTTTCCCGTATGGATCGTCGACCGAAGGCCGTGGTATATCCTAGATTGTTCGTTGTTGTTTGAGTGCTTAGTGCACCTCCCTTCAGCCTCTGGATATTGGTCTACTTTGATATTTTGTTCAAGTTGTATTTTACTATTTGTCATCTTTGTAGATGCAGTACATCGGTATTTGTAATGAAACCATTCCATTATACTCAAAAAAAAAAATG